CCAAATTTTCCCTTCGGGGTTCGCCCAAGTGTTCGTTTTCTTTTCCGCATAACAAAAAATGGCCTTGAGCCTGCCTATTCGCGCCCACAGGCGGGGAGCCTGCCTTATCTTGGATTCGTTTCAGAACGGGGCCGAAGTAGGGGGTAAAGGCGCATTTCTTTGACGACTTGACTCTGTTGTGCAGTATCTTCTTCAGCGGTCATCCGGTCATCCGAGTGGTCGTTTTCTTTTTCGTTTAAACTGGAATGTGTTTGTTTTGGCCCACTGGTGGAGAAAACGCCTATTTCTAGTACTGTTTCCTCGATGTTTTCGCGCAGTTGACACACTTTCTTTTCGGAGATCAACCAAGTGGTCGTCTCCTTTCTCCGAGTGCCCGCTTTTGGACCTCTTTCGAATCCCAGGCTGATTTATGTCTTTTTTGATGCACTTCAGTGCTTCCAGTGGTCGTATGGTACCTGTGCGCCAAGCAGTCCAAGTATTTTTGGCTTACCTGTCGCGAGCAGGCCTTTTCTCCTTCACAGGGTGCCTTTAGCTTGGAAAGAATGCAAAAAAAAAAAGAGAAAAAAAAAAGAGAAAAAAAGTGAGAAATGAAAATTAGAAAATTTGTGAGATTATTGTAATGATAAGAAGTGTTTCGGTCCATTAAATCGTATACGATTTTTACCATTACCACAACTGGACTTCATATCTTTTCCTCTCACAATAGCTCTGATGTTTAAGTACTTCCAAGTGCTCCACCTTTGTGTCATCGAAAACCTTGCATTGTGAGAGATGGAACTGCCCGGAAGTACCCCGAATAATAACACGTGCCAAAAGCGGCATCGGCTGGAAAGACTATTGTCGGTAGCTCCCCGTTTCGAGAGTTCCTTCCGAAACAGGTTAACGGCGAATTTGTCTCTTTGATCTGTGCTAGCACCACAGATGGATCCAGACGGGGGGCGGAGGAGGGTGGTGCGATGGGTCTTTGGCCCCCCCCCCTCCCTCCCCGTCTCTCAGCGGTACAGGAATCAGTGGTGTGAGTAGTAGAATGGAATAATTGGTCGTAAGCGTCATGTGCCGAAGGACATTTTACTATGTGGTAAGCCTGTGTTTCATCCCTTAGCTGTAAACGCAGACCGGGCAAAGTTCGGATCTGAAGTAGACTCTCTTCCCAACCTTCCCTCCTCCTCTTGCGTCGCCCTCCCAGCGGCCGTTCTTCCTCCCACTCGTGACCCCCTCACCTTCCCTCCGTCTTCCCTCCCCTCCCACCCTCCTGCCAAGAAGTCCTCTTGAATCTC